TCACCCCAAGCAGCCACCAGCTCCTCCTTGGTGTTTACGCATGCTCCATGGACTCGGATCGGAAGGCTGAGATCCCGAACAATTTTGCCGAATGCGGAATCGTTGACCACATTGCGTAGTACTCGGCACTGAGTAGAGAGGAGCTTTTCCATACGCGTTTTCCGCTGCATCGGGATTGTTGCACTCAGACCTGGGATACCAAGTCCACCATGTTGTTTACCGGCGTGGATGTAGCCGATCGGGGTGTCCTTCGGTAGACGTAGCCAGCCACGAATATATTGCCTGATGTAGTTGTCCAATCTTTTTAGTGTGTTCCTGTGGACTTGGCCGAGCACGAGCGAATATGTCAGCCTTGGTATCAGGTAGTTCCTCGTGATATCCATTCTTTGATGCGGCTTCAACGGGGCACGCGTCACTTCTTCGAGCAGTTTGAGCAGGTGCTGTCGGTGGTTGAAGACCCCTTTCCCCTTGGAGGTGAAGGGAATGCCCAAATATGTTACAGTGTCTGTCGTTCCCAGATAGCACACTGTTTACAGTTGCTGAAAAGAATTCAAATACGGGAAATTAAAGACGGCACCACGTAGGTTGATGCGAACCAAAATGTGGAGAAAAGTCATACTTGAATGGTTTCTCCGTTATTGTACGTTTAGCCCACTCTTGCTTATTGTCACTTGTGTCGCATCAATTTGGCATTACGAAATTTGTTCTCCGTTCATCGTTGTGAGGAGAAAGTTACTTTTGAAACCACTACTGGTGCTTGCTAAGGAACCGTCTCTGTAATTGGACAATACATTCGGTGATCACTCGCAAGATTGTTGGCTAGAGTGATCATTCATGAATTTCTCAATTTCAAGAACTAGTACATTCGAGTTTCCTATATGTGGCACCTTAAAAAGCTTCGGGTCTTTACATTTTGTCAAACTTTTCTCGGCACGACGTGGCTGTTTGACTTCCTCTAAAAACCTTACTTTAAAGTGCCGCAATGTACGTACGTTGCAGTTCCCCAGCTATATACACTTTTCTCAGAACGCGCTCCACCAAACACTGTTGGCATCCATCAATTTTGGGTAGTTGAGCCTCTCCCCAATCTCCTATTCACAGAGCTGCGTGAACTTATGGAGTGAGTTGCCTCAAGTAAATATCCGCCATGAATGATCGAGCCTACCAAACAGGGGACAGCTCTGCGCTTAGAAGGTCTTGTCCAAAAGCGCGGGTGATATCGTCATATACGCTGGGCCAGGTCAGGTTCATAAGTATGCAAGCCTTGGTTGTAAGGGGGCAAATGTAAATCGCTGAAATGAAATATTATCCTGCATGTGGAGCATACCGCTCCGCACGACCTTGACACTGAAGCTTTCAGTATCATCGTTGTTATCATCCGTCCATGTTGCGTATCGTGTGGGCCATCACCCCAATCAAGTGCTCCATTACTGAATCTTTGAAGCTTCAATTGTGGCACAATTGTATCCGTATTCACTGGATTTTTCTATGTTCCACTCCAGTAAAATCGGATTATAAGATGCTGAATCGTGTGAGGTACGAAGTGCTACTTTTGTAGCATGTTGTATTTACCGCTCATGAGCGCATTGCATTCAGATACTTTTTCGTCTTTATTTCTAGACTGATTCCGATGTCATAGATCTGAGTAAGTTGCGGAGCGTTCCATTTGATGGTTTTCTCTTTTTTCTCAGTATGATCTAGAGTTTGTCGTTCTCATCCTCTGCATCATTGTGTTTTAGTAGGCCAGTTGGACCTACTCCGGAAATTCCGCTTGTTCTCTTGGACGTCTGTCCTGGAACAGCCTTCAAAGTTCACCTCTGTTGCTTACTTACAGAAGACGTTTGCATACTATACTGTTTCCATTATTTCCTTCTGCTATGAGAGGGAAGGACATGGTTGATCGTATCGGTCGTTTTCTGTTCGCCTTTTCATCATTCCACTACCGCGACTTTTAACTCAACTCACATTGGTTGAAAAATACTTTGTTAGCCTACTAAAGTTCATCATATGTAAATAAAGAATAGAACTAGCACTACGGCAGATAAAATGCTACCACATTTTTTCACGTTAAAGTCTCTTAAAACCATGTTAAACCACCCGAGGGTAATTTAAAGGATATCTCGCGATGAATTTGAAAATGTACTGAAGCCAGTAGTAGTGTTCCGGAAGGGATTTCGTGTGATGGAATTAAAATGCCCCTATAGATGAAGGCTTTTCGCATGTGTGCGACACCCTTCGCAGAATCTCTGTCGCTCGCTCAGTTACTTCGGCACGCAAAGACGACGCGTTGCATAGACTTACTCGTGCGCGCACCTTTCATTTACAATTCAATGCACGGCTGATCATCCGTCACTGGCTGGTCTGCGCGTGGGTAGATGTATGTGTGCCAGCTCTTTTGGGCGGAAGAAAATCCGACTCTTATTGTCGGTGCGTTGTGATCAGAGCTGCCGTGCAAGCGGGGTGGATAAACAGGATGTGAATCTTGATCTCACAATGCAGACGGAGCGAGGAAGTAGGTGAATTGCCCATCGGAGTTGAATCGACACGAATGGTCTGTTGGTATGTGCGTCAGTGACTGGTTAGCAGTGACAAAGCCGAAGTAGACTACTCGTTCCACCTTTCTGCCCTCTAGGCAGTAAAAAGAATTGGATTATTTTGTCTATTTGATTTGTTGTAGCCGAATTATGCCATTTTCTTTAAATATTTTGGTTGGGAGATACAATTTGCAGATAATGCTACCATACATCACCATACCATTACATATTCTTGCACAGTGATTCTGTGCATTCGACACTGGTAGATAGTGTGCTACGCCCAGTTTCGCTCGGAAGCCCACATACGCGCTTTCGAGGGCGGAAACCGTATGGTACTTCAAAAACATCACTTTTGCAACTTTACTTTCGAAATCCATATCAGTAGTTACCAAAAATCGGAGGAATTTCTAAATGAACCATGTCGCTCCCACAGCTGTTTCAGACTTGTTTCTACATCTGCACACCATGTGACATACAAAACTTCCTATTTTTGGTAGTGGAAATGGGCTTTCACTAGTTTCGGTTTAAGCAGTTCTTGGTGTGAATGAGTCCATTGATTATGGTCATCTTACGTCTGGTTATCTTTGTGACTAGTTGCGCGCGTGAACAGAAGTGACTAGTTAGTGATAGCATCTGATAAACCAAAATAACACTAAAATGTAACCTTCCCAGGTACATTTTTCGGGGTAGTGTTGACCTAAGAACCCATCCTGGAACTCCGTCTTGTGGATGTGCACACGACCTCTAACGGCTGAGACTCCCAAGCCACCTAGGCGTAGACGGTAATTAACTCAGGCTTATAAGCGACGTTGTAGAAGTTCTCATCATCAATTAATAGTCATGCCATGTTCATGCTAAAGAACCACGCCCACGTGTCACAACAGTTCCAAGTGCGTTTCAAGTATATTATTCAGGTGGTCTCACTGAGAATCAGCAATTTCAGAAAAATGATATCTCGTACTTTAACTACTCTGTTTCAGGAACTTCCCGAAGTTTGCATCCAGAAAGTGAACCCGGTGTAAAACCAATCTACGGTGTGCCACAGGCACGATCTCGAACCTCGGTTAGTTGCTGTCATGACTATATGAAACGTACCTTTGCATAACCCATTAACTCGTGATTCTCACTCTATTTCCAGCTCATGTACTACAGTTATTAGACGATCGATTAAAGCGTAAATTACGTCTTTCTATTCTGTCTCCTTTCTAATCCCGTCCTGGAACTACTCGACTCTCGCAACAGTTGCCTATAATCTATGTCAAGGAATTCTGATGCCTGCATTCATGCATTGTTTTCTTAGTTTATTGGTTTTGTATCCGCGCCCAACCTTGATGCGTTGGTCTTAAGGTATTGTATCGTTTGATTTTGATTTGATTTCGCTTAGGATCTATTGTGTTCTGGCACGTAAACATCCGTTTTGTTAGCTGATCGACGGTTATTGTTTTGGACTTAAAAAGGCGCTTGTTTTTCTTTCTGGATTTGTTACAGCAAATTCTGTGGCCGTTGCATTTTCAACTGTCATGATACAAAAACTAACAAACATGTATCATCACAGTGATACAGTTTATTTATTTCCAGCAATCTGTGCAGGCTGAGCTATCAACACTCCCTTCAACAGCATAATTATACAACCTTTCAGGGGGCCCTGATCGTCAATCTGGAAGCGATAGGGTCATGCGGCTACTTTATACTTTTACTGGGAGTAGGTGGGACTACAGAGTAGAGCGCGCATTTAAATCACAGTGTCGCTGCTAACCACCCCTTTCAGGCTAGGATTGGGGTTAAGCCTGCGTGCACCGCATTTAGTGGTTCAGTGCTGTATTTTGGTATGTTGTGCAATGTACAACATACCCATAACTGCCTGACCCCACAAGAACGTGCACTGCACTGCATAGCTGCCTGTCAAGTATTCCTAATTTACGAACGACGCCTCCGAAATATCCAGTCTTGTTGAGATAATGCACCTCCACCGGTGTAACTATACTGCAACGTTTTGCTTTTTCGTCCTACTGCCTTCCCTTTTGTACAAAAGTCCTGTGCCTCTCACGTTCGGAAATAAGACATTTGAACAACATCTTAATAGTTCGTTCTAAGTGATGAAAACCAATCGATGGACCATGCGTAACGGCAGCGCGATTCGTCTCCGTGGTCTTGACGTGATGTATAAGTCCTCGACGCTTTAATTCCTGCATTTGAGGTTGGAATGGTTGGTCAGTGGCTGTTTTAGGCGTTGCCTTGCTGAATATCTAATTTACCACCAAGATTCGATGAATGCTCGAATTAATTAAAAGCACTTTTGTGCTGTAAACTTCCAGCTATGTATCAGCAGACCATCCACTAACGCCTCACTACCCACCCCAAGACGCTCGAATAGAGTTGTGCGTGTAAGCACAAAACGGAAATAAAACAACTGTCATTCGCAGCCAGTGTGAAAAAAACACATTCAGAGCCTTTCTGATTGAAATTTGTGCGCAACTTTTGAGGCAGAAATTCTTCGAAATATAAATAGCCGTTTCCTTGTGTTGATCAGACGGCAGTTGATCTGTTCGCCGAGGCGGAAATTTTTCCTTGTTCGGCAAATGTTCTATTACATTTCAAGCGATTCTTCAAATGTATTTCTTGGCGTCGCCTGGAATTGAATAATTAGCAGTTCAGGTTACCCGTAATACAACATCAGCAACAGCAATGTCTGACTACAAGTAGTGTTTTATCAGACTAGGGACATTTTAATATATCTTACAGTTAGATCCTATGGATAATCACTATCCATCTTCCTGGTACCTTGGTTGGTACACAGTGGTTATTCGGAAAACTCATTGTCAGTCCCAAACAAATTAGGACGCATAGATTGTTACTGACGGCGCTAGATTACCTTGAAGTTTGATCCCATGCCAAGGTGGCGCAGCCTTGCAGGTCGACCGTGAAGCCTGATGGACACGGGAGGATCTAAGCGTAGTGTGGCGGTTTGTGTAGTTGGGTGGGAGGGGGGTTCAATCTGAAGCCCACAAAATTTCCCATACCATGATGGTCGATGGATCAGCACAGTCTTCTTATCCTCGAGGAACTTGTACAGTGATTGGTGTTTTTAAACGTTGACTCCGCATGATGGACATCTTATGTCTGATCTGTAAGTTTTGACTGTGCTAGCGCCTACTTTGTCTTGAACAGCGTTGAATATTGTTTGTCCTCTCTTCAGTTACTGTTGTTTGCACGTGTTTCCATGCAAAACATGCATTGGCGATCATTTGGCATGACTGGAAAACTACTCATGGCACGCCTTCGAATAGAGTGTTTCCCTTACTTTTCCAAAAAAGTAATATTCTCCTGTATGTCCTTCCATATCTCTCCCTCGCATTTTTATGTATAATTATACCCTTCAGAACTAGACGATATTAGTAGTAGTACGCTAGCTGGTAACATCCAGGACAATAAAGCCGTTCTGCCCACTTCCGATCAACGCAGAAAATCCATCAAGCATCCGTTGTGCTTACTGCGTTTTGTTGCACATCTCAGTGAGTGCGGAGTCATTAAGATTCCGGAGTCCTGACCGAAACAGATACCCAATTTCTCTTCTTTTTATGTTCTTTCCACATAGAATCACTTTCGCACCGTATCCGGTGGATTGGTGGATTTAAGTCAAAGTTCGGAAGAATCCTCTCAGAAAACCCGATCCCAGACACCTGATCCACAAATGGGGAAGCAATTTAGTTGTGATCAGGTCACCTACATGGAACTCGCTTATCCACGAACGTCATCGCACATGTTGAAACCATCTTTAACTGGATCAGATGGTACCCACCGAATACAACCGTCGGACGACAGTGGTGAGCTACACGTACAGATGCTGCATAGCATGGTTTGACTTCGCAGTGGTGTCCTTGAATTCTGTTTGCAGGAGGTTACACCGACTGCAGTTCTCTCGTTCCAAAAGCTAATTATGTTGTTTTGCATGGTTCACCGCTTGTCTGTTGTGTATTAGTTGAGGGCTAAGTATCGAAGAACAAAATATTTTGCTACTGGACTGTGCAGTTCTGACGGGCAAAATTTTCGAATCTGTCCTTCAGGATAAGCCAGAATCGCAGGAAATTCGAGAAAATCTGTGCATAGCCTGGGAGAATAACGACCGTCATTTCAACCGCGTATACAAAACGTTGTCTACTTACGCATTCTGTGTTGCACAGATCATACATTCGAAGAGTCTGCGCCGTGCTACGTCAAATTCAACATCTTAGTAGTCATAATGTACTAACTTGAGTTGCGAAAAAAAAGTCACACAAACAAACTCACATCTACTCTCAACTTGAGTACCTTATGTTCACATTTGCCTGTGTCTGCCATTTCTACACTACGATGCCTATCTTTTCGCTTTTTATGAGGCGGTTCTCATGTCAACTTCCTAACCTGTTTCATGCAAATGAAAATGGAGAACGTAGGCTACAGGCAGCGTAAAATAAAAGTAGATTTGTCGGATGTTTAAGAGTGTCACTAAAACTTATCACGTTTCCTGGCCAAGACAGACCCGGACGTGTGATTGTGTATACATTCAATGTATCTCACCACATGTAGCGTCCTGGTACCACTAAAGATGTGGGAAGCGAGATTGAGGGTCATCTAACATGATTGCGGTGCTTGAACATGGATTTATCGTCTTTGACAAATGGACCATCGCAGAGGTGTGTTGATGCCCACAGTGAAGCGAATCGCATTGAAATTAAAATTATTCCGAGTCCGTCAAACGCTCATACGGGGGACACAGTGATCTGTGAGCCTTTCCTGGTACTAAATAGTTCTTGATTTGCTCACGGATGACAACCCACTAGTTGTTAGTTATGGTGATCGACTCTATCGGAAGACTTTTGCGGCAGGAGTCTTTGAGCAAAGAAATGCTTATTTCAAAGGATAGTGCCAGTTCAAGGAAGAAGTTGGGTGTAATATATCCTGCCATCATAGCAACAAAAAGTATCAAGTCAAAATCCAATGTGTTCTGTTATCCGCATTTGCAAGCGTACATATCAGCTGAAAGTTGTAGGGTTACAGAAACGGTAGAGTGGCTTTCTGTTTGAAGACGTCGCTTTGATGTTGCTCATGGCGCGTGTCGAAAATGAATAAACTCTCATACATGTAATCTATACTCCTGCAACCGCCACTTGACGTTCAAGCGAAAATACTGTTCTTATAATCAGGCTCCTGGTTTTGTTCCTTCTGCTCACTTGCATACGACCCAACGTTGACTTCCCGGTGGTCTATCTGGTGAGTAGCATGTTGACATACAGCCTACATACAAAAGTAGTGAGATTAATACCTGACCATTTTTTATTCACTTCCTTAGGCTTAAGTTTTTATTTCATTGGGTTTCCCAATCCATGGGCTAATGCCTGTTTAAAGCGACGTGTCTCACTATTCCTATCAGGAGGGTAGAAACTTTATTTATATCGGTTCATGGATAAAGGGTGTAGGGACTAGCTGCTCTCAAACGTGCCCGTCGCCGAAGCGTCTGTCAAACCAATCACATCGCTCAAGCGTCAACATATTCACTTGATCAGACGTGATAATTCAGATGCGTCCAGTGTATCTTGGTAGATTAATGTTAACACTCGCATCGCATGTTAGACGTTCGGAGTTTAAATCCCGACACGACCAAGTGTATGTACAGAGGAGCGGATGAACTCCGACAGGAACGAAACTCGAGCTCAGTGTTTCCTCCCTTTAGTGTGGAACCGCAAGAAGAATTGCTCCAGGACTGGAAGGGGACTATTTAAAAAGTGTAATTTGAATGTGAATTCTGCAACTTCCGCCCCCAGCTACAAATATTGAAGTTGATCTGTTTTACCAAAGGTTTTGACTTACACTTACCCTGTATCTCGTTTTGTAGTTCTAGGAATGGAGAAGTCGGCAGCTGTTACGGGTTCTCCAGATTCCTCCACGCAGTATGGCTCTTTACTGCGACTTGGTAAGATGCATCGAATACGTCAGTCCAATGTACCCACTGGCAGAAACGGTCAGCTTCCTGGTCAGTCATGTGGTGTCCTCCGAACCTCGTTCATCATGCTTCCGGGAGAATTTTTCGTTCATCTTCAACGTCAATCCACTGGTTTTGGTTTCAACATTGTGGGTGGGGCAGAAGAGAATTCCCAGGTAGGACTCGTATTATCGATTGTTTATTCAGACCTTTATCCTTTCAGAAATTTGTTTAGGCGTAACTGTGTCGTGCATACGTATAAGCCCTTAAAAGATGACGCCTTCAAGCAAACCAGCGTTCATGTATTCCTGAATAGCGTTTTGGTCATTTCAGTGCATAAAGTTCACCGGGGAATTGAATATATCATGGTCAAGTTCTTCTGTATCGGTCGGAGGGTGTTTGTGCGGTCCGAAGATTTAAAAACACAACCACCACTGCCACCACTCTCAGACGTGCCAACAATTCGGGCACAATCTCCGGCCCGTTTGACAATAAGTAGAATGCTTTGGAATATCTTACATTTCCCACCATCCATTCCTGAGATTCTTATGGCAACGGGAAATACAGGCAACCGAGCGGAACTTGGGAAGTAGTGTTTTGCCGCCGGATCCCCATCAGTCCTAAAGATGTGCACAAACGAGCCGGAGAAAGTAGAGAGTGATAGCCTACATTCTTTTATTAAGGTAAGGTATAGCGTATGAGGATCACTTTTGCATCTCGGCACAATCTCCGGCCCGTTTGACAATAAGTAGAATGCTTTGGAATATCTTACATTTCCCACCATCCATTCCTGAGATTCTTATGGCAACGGGAAATACAGGCAACCGAGCGGAACTTGGGAAGTAGTGTTTTGCCGCCGGATCCCCATCAGTCCTAAAGATGTGCACAAACGAGCCGGAGAAAGTAGAGAGTGATAGCCTACATTCTTTTATTAAGGTAAGGTATAGCGTATGAGGATCACTTTTGCATCTCGGAGACAAGTGGGCGCAACCAACCATCAAGTGAGTCACATGCTGTTACTTGAAGAGCAGTAATTAAATTGCTCAATTAAATTTTGGATGAAGGTTGACTGAATAATCTGCTATTTGAATTTGAAAAGTCAAATACTAACAAAAACCAAGAGGAGGGGTAGGGAAACGGTGGCTTACATGGAATAAGAGAAGAGCTTATTGTCGGTGATATGCTATCTTCCCGCTGCGGTTAAGAAGACAGAAGAAAGGACGCTGTTGTCCGGATCGCTTTCAACACCCGGATGAAATCAACCTTGTGGACTGGGTACTCCAACGCTTCTCTGTTTCCTACGAACGAACGACGCCAAAAAACTATCAAGTCTGCCGAACTTTGTAATGCAATGTAAGAGTCGCCATGCCATGAACAGCTGGGCTTTTCCATCTGACGCGCTAGCATGCGTAGTGCTTTCTTCCTTACCTCCAATGTTCGCGCTCTGGCTGAAGGTTGGTACACATGGGAACTTTTGGGAAACTAGCTTCGAGATAACATTTGATGCGAACTATAACAATACAATAGCTAGAGGTGCAGGAACTCGTACTTCTACTAAAATTATGGACCTGTGAATTTATCAACGTGGCCATTTTGAAGGCTCAGCTCGTGCTTAGATGTATGCACTTAGAAACCACGCTAGAAGTTTGGAAAAATAAGATGAGTGTTGTTGTCTGGTGTTGTTTGTTTGCTGTCCCAAGACCTGTGAATCAACGTGGCCATTTTGAAGGCTCAGCTCGTGCTTAGATGTATGCACTTAGAAACCACGCTAGAAGTTTGGAAAAATAAGTAAGATGTTGTTGTCTGGTGTTGTTTGTTTGCTGTCCCAACGGGCCTGGTAGCAGATGGATTGCTCCGTGGTGGCGGTCCCGCAACCATGGATTTAACGCCACAAAGCCGCACCATCAGTGAACGCTGAACTTCATCCAGATTCAGTTTGGCAAGGGAGGCACACAACCACATCCGCTTGCATCCAAATATCGTCATCACGTACCTACCGACTTGACGTCTGAGGTCAATATCTGTGGGTGCACGTAAAAATTTTCATGAAGGGTTAACTTCTGGGTAACTGCTGTTGGTTAGATTCTTTAGCATGTAATATAAAGGACTTGTCAGCTTCTGGTTCAAAATCCTGATCACTGCACCGTGGTCACTCTTCCGTACGTAGTACAGGGCACGGAAGTCGCCTTATCCTTGTCCTGATTGACTATCAGTAAAGAAACTTTCTCCTCATTCAGTCCGTGAATGAATGTCGTTGGAAGAAATGGGTGAGCTCCGGGTTCCGTGCACACCTAACCGTTCTACCCAGGAACGGTTACCAGTATGTAACTTACTAGTCGCTTCAAGGACAGAACCACAAATACGTAGCATTGCTTAACGATAGAGCATTTTACATTTCATTCTTTCGGATCCTTGGGTTTTTTCAAATGAAGCGAAATGTTGGCAAACAAAAAATCCACCGACTGTTTACCAGACGTCTCCGAAACGATAACTACCCAAATGAACGAAGCTTCCTTCGAATTAAGTAGAGTTATTGATCTTCCTTGTTTGTACTAATTAGCATTCGGTCCAGTACTGAGTGGTAGCTGATTATCACCCGAAAGGATACTGTATCCGAAATATTCCTCAAATCGGTTCAGGTTGTGGTTACTTAAAGGCGAAAATGGGGGTAGTAGATACCTGTAGAGTGCTCTGCTTTCTGATAGCGTGGCAAGCGTTCGTACTTTCACTTGTTTGTAACTCTAAGCTATTTCTTTTCTGATTAACCGATTCAAGGTAGTTGTCGGTTCTCTTGTGCTTGGTGGCGCAGCCCAAATGAGTGGTATCGTGCGAACCGGTGACAAAATCGTTTCAGTGAATGGGACCCGGGTAATTGGGGCCAAACATCGCGAAGTAGTCCAGATGCTGGAACAGGCGGCACATACTGTTGGGCAAGTAACGCTGGGACTACAACGATCGGTGAGTTGCTATACCTTATTCATGCTCGTTGTAAATCATCTTCAGTGGATTAATCTTCACATATTGGCGGTTGGCACACGGAAGCTGTCAATCCCTATCACTCGTTTAAATAAGCATGCCAACATTGACCCCCAAGTGCCAGTTCTGGCAAAACTGGAATGCGCTGCAACTTTTCTAACACGGGGATTTTATGTTTCATTCGAAGACGCAAGGTTTTCAAGACGTTATTGAAACGATGAAGGGCATTCTCCTGTATACAGGGATTGTGATCACCGAACAGATAAATGTGTGCTTAATGTGTTTCAAGTAAATTGGAATACTTTTCGTTTGTCCTGGTGCTGCGGCATGAGTGCTCCGTCT